TGCAATATGTCGTGTCTTATACTACCGCATAAATCATCATTCTGAGCCCAACGGGTTTCGACACGCGCAATTATGATTAGCGCTTGGTCTAGTCTCGGGTCCGTATGTGGCGAACAACCGGCGAATCACTTACTAGGTGAACAACCGGCGAACAACCGGCAAACAACCGGCGAATTAACCGGCGAACAACTGCGTATCTGGCGAACAACCGGCGAATTAAAACAAAACATTGACCCACCGCCAGGCGAGTAGAATTGTGCCCCCATCCGTCTAGGATTGCTTTCCCGTCCCAAGCTTCACCAGCCTTTCAGTGGTCTCACGAGTTCATTTTTTAGTCTTCGATCGACCCCCTTCTTCCTCTTCGGGGAGGGGGTTCCTCCTCTCTGCTCCCTCACAAGGGTCTGGATGGCAGGACGGAGGTCAAGGTGCCTTTGTTCGCCCAAGATTGTTCCAAGAGGGTCTGCAAGATGGTCTGCGATGCTATGAGATGGCCTCCAAAGAGGCCCCAAGATGGCCACACGTCGCCTCCAACTGCTCTCGGAACTACACAAGGACCCCCCCAAGAGTCTCAAGTACCTAAAACGGAAAATCGAAAACCTAAAGGAGAATCAATGAATGTTGCCTTCTCCCGCCCTTTCGCGTTCGATGGACACCTGGGGCCCCAGGATGGCCCAAGAGGACCCCCAGGCAGCACCAAGAGCGCCCAAAAACGCCCCAAGAAGACCCCCAAGGACGGTGTTGAGAGCTCGTGAAGGGAGACCCTTGGCCTCCAAGATGGCCTCCAAAGGTCTCCCAAGGCTCGCACGGGGCCCTAACGAGGGGCCCAAGACGGCCCCAAAATAAAACACTTCGAGCGCGCCCCAACCAGGCCTCACGAGAGCCCCAACAGGATCACGAGGGGGTCTACACATAATTATGTCGGTATCAAATTTGCATGGGGCTGGAACTCAATCTGAAACACGCGTATGCATTTCGTGAAATCGATCTACAAAGCCCCCGCCCATTCCTCCGTCCCCACCCCTGTTGCTTCCAATCGCCAGATCTCCCACAGACGAACGTGTTTCTAATGATGGACATGTACGACCCGACTGCATCCTGACGAATCTAGCCCACCTAGCCTCTCCATTTCTTACGGGGCAGACGGCGCCTTCTTCCCTCATTCCATGCCTGGGGCGTGTCTCCACGACCACGTCCCAATCCCCCCCCGCAGCTTACCAACGCAGTACACGCCATGGGTGAGACGCATGGAGAAGGGCGCGAGGAGGGCATACTTGTAATTACGAGCGCGCGTGTGCCATGACACGAACCTGCTGCTGGGTGACCCCTGCCAAGCTAAGACCACCTCCATTTTGTGGTCTGACTGACCGCTTCCATATGAAGTCCTGGAACTCCCAGCGCGGTGCGGTTCCTTGGTCAGCCAGTGGCAGCAGGCTGTTTGGCTACACGCCAGAAGGACCCTACGCAAGAGTGACCTTTGGTGCGCGGCTCCTACGGGGGCAGGGGGGGGGTCAAAACCAAGCGCGCCAACCGCTGCTGTCACATCTGGTGCAACAATTGGGAAGTACCCTCGGCGAGGTGCCGACCGACGTCCAGAAGGACGGCCCTACGAGAGCACGGCGGCTGGGCCAGAGCCCGTGATGCACTTTTGGATCCCTGTGTGTCATGAGCATGAGAGCCCGCGAAGGGGGAGGGTGGGCGGCGACGACGCAAGGGCCCGCGCAAAGGGTCACTCCTGCGAAGGGCCCCTCTGACACTGAGATCCGACGTTGCGAACAAATGCAGCATCGCGAAGGATCGAGATTGGAACCCCAAACCCCATCTTGACCCTCTGACGTTGCGAAAAAATGCAACATCGCGAACGATCGAGGTTGGAACCCCAGACCACATCTTTCTGGGCCGTTTCCCGAGCCAGATCGATCTGTGAAGGTCCCCAGGCCCGAAGCCGAGCGACTATGGCCGCTGTGCAAAAGTTGTAGCGCCCAGATCTCAGGGGACGTGCAATTGAGGCTGTCAGCTCGGAGCCTGCTGGACACGTCGACGACGACGACGACGACGATCGACCACCCAACAGCGCGAAGCACGGGTCCCGGCCGTCTGTCCAGGCTGACCCCAGGGACCTCCCGCGCTCTCTGCCCTCTTCGGTGCGGGTGGCTCTGGAGTTCTTCGCTCTCCGCCTCCTCGGCTTCGTCGTCCTCCCCCTCCCCCTCCTCCCCGCCCTTCTTCTCCTTCTCCTCCCCCTCCCCCTCCTCCTCCTCCTCCTCCTCTTCCTCCTCCTCCCCATCCTCCTCCTTCTCTTCCCCTTCTCCTCCTCCTCCTCCTTCGCCTCCTCCTCCTCCTCATCCTCCTCCTCCTCCTGCCTTGTGGACTTCGCGCCAGAGGCCGTGCCCTGTGAGCCTGAGGAGGCGGAGCAGGCGGAGCAGGCGGAGCGGGCGCAGGATGAGGAGGAGGCGAAGGAGGCGGAGGAGGCTAAGCAGGCGGAGGCGAAGGAAGGGAAAGGAGAGGGGGATGAGGCTCGAGGCCCGTGTACAGGCTTCGCTCGGGAAGTCTTGAAATCCGACTCCTTGGCCGCACCTCGGGCCAGGAGAGGGCCGATTGTGGAGGACTCGGGCGTCCCCAGGGAAGGCGTTCGACGAGGCGCGGCCGCTGGAAGACGCCCCCGGGTCGAAAGACCTCAGGAGCCACTTACAGTCGGGCCGCTGAAACAAGGAACGATACATCAGGAACGAGGCCCATTTTTGGCCCCCCGAAGCGCCAGCGTGCACGAGGGCTGGTGAAGCAACCACAGAATGACCTGAGGAACATCGAGCCCCTCTCGTGCCCAAGCTGTTCCTTGATTCAGCGTCTTGCCTGTACCGACAGTCTTCCGAGGACCTCTCGAGGAGTAAGGTTAAGTCGGGCGTGTTCCCCTACAGCGGGATATTCGACGAAAAATAAAAGACACTCCATAAATACGCCAAAAAGGTAAAAAATACTAAACACATAGTCCACTGACTATTTTTGGAATATCTTTTGACCAGTTTTGGGGTACTTTTATTTTTCGTCGAAAATTACCCTGTAGGGGGACAGGCCCGACTTAACCCCAGGATATCATCGGTCCTGGCTGCCCTCAGCAGGTGGACAGGGCAGTCTGGGGCAGTCTCAACAGTCGGAAGCGCAAACATGGATTCGCGATCCATGGACTTGGCGCGCGGTCGCCAAATCCATGGATCGGGGGAGGTGCCCTCCCCAAAATGCGGCCAGTGCCGCCTCGTTCGGCGGTGGAAATCTGTGTTTGTTCTATGGAAACGGCACCCGTCGCTAATCTACGCCCTCTTGATCCATGTTTGCGATCGCCTGAAACAACCCAGCCCTGGGGTGCGGCGCGACCCCACAGGCACCGCCAGAAATGTTGGTGGCACTGTGTGCTGAGACCGCCCCGGGACATCCTGTGAGCCTGCTGGGGCGGCTTGAACCACTTCCAGGTGCTGCCTGTGCACACCCCTAAGCCTTGCTGCGTATAATTGTTTGTATGAGGGGCAACGATAGGAGGGGACTGGCATAGGGGGGGATGCATCGACCTGGAATCGGCGATGCATCGCCGATAGATCGGTGATAGGGTTCCGACTGTGAATCTGCCCCTTCATGGACAGGTTGGGGCTATCGGGCCTCCATCGGCGATCAATGGGCGATTGGGGGTAGATGCATCCCATCCCCCCTATGCCGATCCCCCCCCTACCGTTGCCCCTGATTGTTTAGGTCCCCCGAGCTCTCAGCCCCAACCAGGACCGAATTCACGTCGCAGATAGTTGTTTCATGATCCTGGTTTCGGAAAAGACGAATGACTACCCACCATACTACTCCAACCGAACCCAGAAACCCGAATTTGACCCGAATTTCGGGTTGGGGGGTACTGATTCCATGTGTTTTTCAATGTTCTGCGACCCCCCCCACTGAAACTGGAGGGCAAATTGAAGGCTTCAGGTTGGGTTGGGGTGGTTTGGTGGGTGGTGAAAGAAGAGGCTCTTGTGATTTCTGCCAGGACGCCAGAAGCATGGGAAAGCGTTCAACTCCTCTTGCCAACCGTGCCTAGAAGCCTCCGAGAAGGGGTCGGAGTAGACCGAGTCGGTGGATCGCGACGCATCGGGGACGTCGGCGACGCATCCGCGCCGTCGGTGTAGAGAAAATGCCCCCCCCCCCCCACATCGAGCCGCATCGCCGATGCATCGGCGATGTGGCGCGATCCCGACCCCATCTACTGGGATCCTCTCTGGGAGGCCTGGAGTGCCCGCGACACCCGCACCCTGCCCCCGCCGATCATCGGCTCTCCCGAACCAATGCCGGGCGGGGGTAGGGTTCGGATTTCGCTACGTCTTCCACGAACGCCAAACCCTACCTCCGCCGCCCATCGGGCTGCGGGAAGCGCTGATCCGCGAGGGTAGGGTTCGGATTTCGCCGCCGCCAGTCGTTCGGATCTCTGTTGGGGCCTCCAGGCGCTCGCCCCGGGCCCCATCTGCCTGGATCCTCTTGCCCACCGTCCCCTGGGACGCATTGAAAGACGAAGAAGAAGACGAATCATAGAAGAAGAAGAAGAAGAAGAATAATAATAATAAAAAATGATAAGAAAACGAAGATACCTAGGGAGAGATCATGGCCTCCACCAAGATATCCCCCTAACCATCATCCCGAGACCAAATCTGCTCAACATCGGCCCCTGGATCCCAACCTTTCACCCCGGCTCTGTTTTTGACGGTCCCAGGGCCCGACAGCGCCCCCCAGAGACCGCACAGGACAAAAACAAAACTACCCGAAGCTCGCCCCCCTCTTGGAGGACGGGGAGGAGGAGGAAGCTCCTCGTCCTCCTCCCCCTCCCCCTCCTCCTCCTCCTCCTCCTCCTCCTCCTCCTCCTCCTCCTCCTCCTCCTCCTCCTCCTCCTCATCCCCCTCCTCCTCGCTCCTCCTCCCCCCCCTCCTGGTCCCCGGGCCACGACGGCGCCGGGCCGCCGGGCCACCGCGCGGGCCGCCTCAGAGCGGGCCGCGCAGCGCGCGGAGCCCGGCGCCCGTCTGCAGCAGCTCGTAGTCCGCCCCGGAGAGCACGGCCTTGGCGCTCTTGAGCGAGTCGACTTCGCCTGCGGGGGGCGGCGGGGAGCGACGACGACGACGACGACGACTACGCCGACGACGACGACGACAACGACGACGACAACGACGACGACGACGTAGACGACGACGACGACTGGAAGGAGGGAGACTTCGGGAGACGTTTGTCGATCGGTTCGGTGGGGCCGGCGGGGCATGGGCCGTGGGGGCCGGCGGCGGCGCGCCGTGCGCGCCCGCCCGAGCCCTCACGAAGACCTCGAGGAAGAGGTCGCAGATGCCCACGACGAGCACAAGCCGTCGACGTGGAGGGGGGGAGCCCACGGGGGGTGGACTGGGAGGAGGGGGGAGTCTGCGAGGAGGCAGGAAGAAAGGAGGGACGAGGGTGAGGTGCGAGAGGTGTGAGATGGGAAGGAGCGATTCGGCTTCGCGTGGTTTCTCCTTCGGTGTTCTGGCGAAGACGGCGCTCAGGGCGTCGAGGGGTTCTCTCTGGGCGTCCTCCTCCTCCTCCTCCTCCTCCTCCTGCCGCTCATTCTCCTCCTAGTTGTCGCTTGTTCTCCTACCTTCTCCTCCAAGCGGCAGCTCGGGCCTGACCCCCGGGTCCCCGAGCCCGCGCCAGGGGCGCCCCCCCGCGCCTCCGCGCTCCTCCTCTGCCGCCGCTCTCCTCGGGAAACCCCTGCTTCCGCGTGGGATGGACCTGGGCTCGGCGCGGCAGCCTCGGGGGCCCAATCTGTCCGCGGGGGAGCGCCGCGGGGGCGCATGGCCACGCCGCCCTCCACTTCCTCGCTGCGTTCGATGAGATGTACAGCCACCGCGGGCAGTCGCTCACGACGATGGGCGAGGCGCTGCGCTGCGCGGTAACAGCCTCAACTGCCTGCAGCGTAGTTCGACCTGCTCTGAGTAGGGATGCCCCTTCTCTGGCTCCAGCTCCTCCTCCTCCTCCTCCTCCTCCTCCTCCTCCTCCTCCGCCTCTTCCTCCTCCTCCTCCTCCTCCTTCTCCTCTTCCTCCGCCACTCTCGTCCATTGTCCTTTCCCTTTCCCTCCTCCTCCTCCTCCTCCTCCTCCTCCTCCTCCTCCTCCTCCTCCTCCTCCTCCTCCTCCTCCTGTTGACCTCCTCCCTCCAGTTCGTCCTCCTCCCCCTTCCCTGTACTCCAGGTTTCTTCCTCCTCCTCGTCCTCGTCCTCCTCCTCCTCCTCCTCCTCCTCCTCCTCGTCCTCGTCGTCGTCCTCCTCCTCCTCCTCCTCCTCCTCCTCCTCCTCCTCCTCCTCTCCTCCTCCTCTCCTCCCCTCCTCCTCCTCCTCCTCCTCCTCTCCTCCTCCTCCTCCTCCTCCTCCTCCTCCGCCTGCTCCTCCTCCTCCTCCTCCCCCTCCCCCATCCTCCTGTCCTCGCGCGGTCGCCCATGCTCGTCCGACGACCGCCGATGACCGTCCGCCGACCGCCGTGGCGACCGCCGACTGCTGGCCCCCCGACTTCTGACGATGACGATCGACAACCGGCACTTCGACGGACCAATGACTGACGGCCGGCCCACGATGCCCGTGGGTCCGATGCCTCTCTCTGGCGGCCCGCCGTGTGGCCACCAGGCCAGCACTCCAACCAGTCCTTGCGTTGTCGCGCGTGTCCGCTCGACGACCCCCGACGACCGTCCGCCGACCGCCGTGGCGACCGCCGACGACCGACTGCCGTCCGCTCGACACCTGACGACGACACCCGTGCCGCCGCACATGTGCGAAGGTACTCAGGTGGCGGTCACCAGCCAGAAGCGCAACCCCATCAACGGCCACACCACGGCGTCGTCGTTGGCCGAACCTGGGAGCAAAACCGGTACCAGGTGGTCCAACTGACCACCGGTAGCGTCGCATACAGTCAGCCTTCATTGGACAGGACACGCGAGAGGACACAAGACCCTTGCGAGGGCCACATTGCCACAGGAATGTAAGAAGGCACGTGTCGCGAGGCACAGGACCTAAGGGTACCCTTGATTTGGCGGGGTCGACCTACTAATCTGGGCCGACTGCACCTGCGCGCGCCCAGCTCGACAGCTGCTCACCCTACTGGGGAGAAGCTCCTGGACGCCCAGCCGCCGACCGACAGACGGGTGTCCGACGACCGACTCACGACGCCGACCTCCACGATGACTCTAGACGCAGTCCGCCACGAGGGCGCGCTCGAAACCAACGGACCCCACGACGTCCGACGCCCGTGCGCCGACCTGCTGGCCGCCGACGGCGGTCCGCCGACTGTCCGCCGAAGCGAACGACAACTCACGACGCAGTCCGCAGCGACCCTCTGCGCTAGCGTCCGCCGAACCTCAAGGGCGCCAGCAACGAGGCCGCAGTCCGCAGTGGTCCACCGCAACCCCTCCGCCGAGCGTCCGTTAGACTTCGCTGGTGCTCCAGGACACCAGGCCTGCTCACAAGCCAGTCCTCGCCTGTGCTCGTCCGACGACCCCCGACGACCGTCCACCGACCGCCGCAACGACCACCTGCGACCGACGGTTGATTCCCAGACCTCTTGCGATGACGATCGACGACGACTGGCTCTCCGACAGACCAGTGCCCGACGGCCGACCCACGACGCCGAACTCAACCATAGCTCATGACGCAGTCCGCAGCGGTCCTCGGCAGTTCGACGCTATGTGATGTCGACGACCTCCGACAACCGTCCGCCAACCGCCGAAACGACCGCTGACGATCGACTGTCGACAACTCGACCTCCGACGAGGGCGCCCGTACCACCGCGCTACCAATGTACTCAGGGGACGGTTGCCAGCCTGCAGCGTACCCCCATCATGGCGGAGGCTACCAAGCCCCCCGCTGGAGAAGGCGACACTGCACTACTGCAGGGGCCCAAGGACACACAAATAAATACACACAAATAAAAATATTCCCCATATTTTGCCATATTTTCTGGGTTTTGTCTTCCCCCCCACTTCCCATGTTTTCCCATATTTTCCTGGGGGTCGACGATTAATTTTGTCTGTGTGTTTTTGCCCCTGCTGAACCAAGCCCCCCCGCCGGAGAAGGCGACGCTGCACCACGCCAGGCCCATGCGTCCCTGCGGCTCGCCACGGCCGGGGGTGACCGCTGCTCTCGCCAGGCCGTCGCGCCATTCCACTTTGGGCACTTTGGGCGCTCGGCGCTTACATGGTCCACACTACAGTCGGGGCGTTGACTTAAGGAACCCTAAATAAGGAACGAGGCCCCTTTTTTCCATAAGTTAAACTTCTATTTCCTATCGAAAGCATAAGGAAAACCTGAGGCAAGCTGTGAAACACGTAAGGAACGCGGAGCCCCTCCCCAACCAAAAGGGTTCCTTCTTCAGGGCCCCGACTGTACTTCGATCGCACAACGCCGACCCGCCCCCGGACCCTGGGGACGGCGGATGAAGGTCCCTATCAGGCCCGACACTTTGTTTGCGGATCTGCGCCTCGAGCTCCGTGCACAGGCACTGCGCTTCATGGCGCGCGCTCTGCTCGGGACCACACGACTGACCCTGGCTTGCAGCTTTGGTGCTCTCGCTTTCTGCGTTGACGACACTCTCGGCGCCGTGCACATCGCCACAATTGCGAGGGTCAGGCACACCTTCTTCCACCGCCTCACCACGGAAGCAAATGACGCCTACGACCGACGCCTAACCTGGCTGCACACCTTTCACCAACGCGGAAGAACGACGTATCCCGACGTTCCTACACTCCGACGCTGTCCGAACACTGACTGGCGCCCACGTCCCTTGGTGGCGCCATCCCTAGGCTCACGCTGGCCCTTGGCGTCGCTGCCGCCTCATCTGCCCCTCAGGCTCTCGCCACCAGGCAAGCACATGGGCAGTTCGGGACCTACTTCATGGTTTGCTGTACGCTCCGTCGCGTGAGTCCCCCTGGCTTGTGTCCACGGGCCCGGCCTCATTTGCACCGAGGCCTCTTCACCTTCTCCGCAGTCGGCCCCCGCAGGGGGTGTACCCTCCGTCCTGCGCCGCGGGGTGGCAGGGCCCGCGCACCTCCTCTGTTCCTGCCAGGCCCCTTTGCTGGCGGGGCCTCGGCGCCGTCGGCGGGGTCGGGCGGAGCTGGGGGCGTCGGTGCTTGCACGCACGCTGGTGCTGGACCCTGCTGCCCTCAAGCCAAAAGGACAAGCACTTGCACCCCCCTCTCCCTCTCCCCCCTCTCTCTCTCTCTCTTTCTCCGCCCTCTCCTTTCTCCCGTCTCTTTTCCCTCTTCTCTCCCTCCGCCATCCTTCCTCCGCTTCCCTCCCTCCCTCCCTCCTTCGTCCGCCCGTACCCCTCGCCCGAGCTGCTCCGCGTGCTTGAGATGCATCTGCTGCGCCCGTGGACCCGCTGGTGCTGCTGTAGCATGACACTTCAGCGTCAAGAACCCAGAGAAGCAATCCCCGCCGACCGCATACGCGCAGCGTTCACACCGCACGCACTTCCCTGTGCGGTCACCCAGTTGCCGCACGACATGGAGCTGCTTCTCCGCTGCAATGCGGCTGTGGAGGAGGCGTCGCATCTCCACTGTCCGGAAGCGCCAGCTGATGGCCACCGCTGCGTCGATGGCAGCACGAGGAGCAGGAGGAGGAGGAGGAGGAGGAGGAGGAGGAGGAAGAGGAGGAGGAGGAGGAGGGGGAGGAGGGGGAGGAGGGTGAGGAGGAGGAGGAGGAGGAGGGGAGGAGGAGGGGGGGAGGAGGAGGAGGGGGGAGGAGGAGGAGGAAGAGAAGGAGGAGGAGGAGCAGAGGAGGAGGAGGGGGGAGGTGGAGGGGGAGGGGGAGAGGGAGGGGGAGGGGGAGGGGAGGGGGAGGGGAGGGAGAGGGGGAGGAGGAGGGAGGGGAGGGGAGGGAGGAGGTGGAGGAGGGGGAGGGGGAGGGGGTGGGGGGGAGGGGGAGGGGGAGGGGGAGGGGAGAGGGGGAGGGGGAGGGGGAGGGGGAGGGGAGGGAGGAGAAGGAGGAGGAGGAGGAGGAGGAGGGGGAGGGGGGGGGGGGGGAGGGGGAGGGGAGGGGAATCCACCTGGCCATGTCCTGCTCGGCGGCCGCGGGTGCGGTGGTGCTGCCGCGCCGAGCAGGCATGCCACGGGCGGCCTGCTCTGAGAGGGGGGACGAGAGCGGCGGAGGCGGGGAGCCGAGGACGACCTGCGGCAGCTCCCTGGGGAGGGTCCGGTGGCTGCCGCTGGCGCGAACCAGGCACAACATGGCCGTGGCCACCTCTCCCGGGCGGAGGAGGGGCAGGCGCACCCAGAGCCCCCAGAGCACCCGGAGCTCGAGGGCGGCTGCGTGGCCAAGCTTGCCCAGGAATGCTCTATCCTCCGCCTCCTCTCCCTCCTCGGCCTCCTTGCACATCTTTGTACATAAGCCGCCGCCTTGATGATGATGTTGCTGCTGCTGCTGCTGCTGATGATGATGATGATGATGATGATGATGATGCTGATGCTGATGCTGATGCTGATGCTGCTGCTGCTGATGATGATGATGTTGTTGATGATGATGATGATGATGATGATGATGATGATGATGATGATGATGATGATGATGATGATGATGCTGATGCTGATGCTGCTGATGATGATGATGATGACGATGATGATGATGATGATGATGATGATGATGATGATGATAGTGATGATGATGGTGATGACGATGATGATGCTGATGACGCTGATGATTATGCTGATGCTGATGATGCTGATGCTGATGGTGCGGATGCAGATGAGAATGCTGTTGACGGTAGCAATGATGATGGTGGTGCTGATGCTGATGATGGCGACAAATAAAATGACGATGGCGATGCTGCTGATTTTGATGATGATGACGACGACGATAACGACGACGACGATGACGACGATGCTGCTGATGATGATGAATATGATGAATATGATGATTACGATGATGATGTTCATGTTGATGGTGATGGTGATGATGATGATGATGATGATGATGATGATGATGATGATGATGCGGAGGCTGATGCTGATGCTGATGCTGATGATGCTGATGGCGCTGTTGATGCCGATGCTGAACAGTTGATGGTGATGGTGGCGATGATGATGTAGGTGCTGATGATGATGCTGATGCTGATGCCGACGAGGAAAATGATGGTGATGGTGATGGTGCTGATGAGGATGACGACGACAACGACGACAACGTTGACGATGGCGATGACGATGATGATGATGGTGATGATGATGAGGATGAGGATGATTATGATGATGCTGATGATGATGCTGCTGATGATGATGATGATGATGATGCTGATGGGGTTGATGATGGTGATGCTGATGCTGTTGATGCTGATGCTTATGATGCTGATGCTGGTGCTGCTGATGGTGACGATGCTGATGCTGATGGTGATGGAGATGATGGCGATGATGAGTTCTGGTGCCGTGCCGCTGCTGCCTCTGCAGCCTGACAGAAGGGCCTCCTCCGCCGCCTCCTGCATCCGCCTCCTCTGCGCAGTGCTTGCGCCGCGCCCCCCCCTCGCTGCACGACGCCACGCGGCTCTCCGAGGACCTGCCGCAGCGGGTCGCGGGGAGGGAGGGAGGGAGGGAGAGAGGGGGGGAGGGAGGGAGGGGGGAGGGGGAGGGGGGGGGAGGGAGGGAGGAGGGGAGGGGAGGGGGGGAGGGAGGGAGGGAGGGGTGGGAGGGAGGGGAGGGTCTCGCGGGGCCGGCGCTTGCCTGCGCGGGCCTGCTTCCGGACCTCGAAGTTGGAGACGAGCCAGTCGCACTCGAGGTGGAGGTCCTCTCGAGGACGGGGGGGGGCGGCGTTGTAGCGACGACTATGCCGTCGACGACGAAGGCGGCGGCGTCCCTCCTCCTCCTCCTCCTTCTCCTCTTCGTCGTCCTACGCCTCCTCCCCCCGCGACGGCGACGTCGTCGACGGAGGCAGCGGGGGCGGCGGCGACGAAGGCGGCGAGGCTGGAACCGGGGCGACGACGACGACGTCCACGGCGGCGGCGACAACACACACACACAATAAAGAACATCTCAGGAGAAGTATCCAGCGAGGGTGACAGTTCTCAAGGATCGACTCGGCAACCTAGGTTCGCACTCCCAGACGGGGCGGGTGGGGAGGGGAAGAGAAGGGGGGGAGGAGGAAGGGGGCAAGGATGAGCAGAAGAGAGTGTGCTGATTGCCCTTGATTAAGGGTTGTGGCAAAAATGACGAACTGAAGTCATGAAAACGCAAAACTGCAAAACTTGGTGGCCCTGTACTACGGGATAGTGTGTGAGCATGTGTGTGCGCGTGTGCGTTTTTCTTGGTAAGCAAGAACAAACCAAACGATTCAGATCTCCCCCAAGCAAGCTTGCCAATTCCGCTGACCCCCACTTGCCAGGGGTAAAAAGGCGTGTGAGACATGTGACTGCCCCCGTCTCCCTTTCCCCCTCTCCTGGGGTCCAGAATCCCATTTGAGGGTGAGGTGGGGGATGGGGCGGGGACACGAGCTCGTCAACGCACACCCGAGGCCATTGTAACCTACAAAATCAACCTGCGATGTCTCTTGGATACCGAATCCGAAGATGGCTCAAGAACGACTCCAGAACATCCAAGACTGTCTCAGGACGGCCAACGAGGCCTGGAAGACGCCCAAAGAGGCCCCAAGACGACCTACAAGAAAGACTGCCTCAAGAGGTCAACGTCACTCATTTTCTATTGTATTTTGAATGACTCTCGCATTCGCGCCAATTCGGAGTTTTGGATCCCGAGGCGGCCCGAGATGCCCCCCAGACCGGCCCAGGACGGCCAGACAAGGCCCTCAGCAGGGCCCCGAGATGGCCCGAGAGGCCCCCCCGAGACTGCACGTGATGCCTCCAAGGCGGCACACAAAACACCCTCCACAAGAGGGACCGGAGTCGCCCGAGAGGGGGAGCTCGTGGGGGGGGGGGAGCCCGGAGGCCCTCCCCCACAAAAGGACCCCTCGAGGCTCCAGAGGGCCGCGCGAAGCTCCCAGGAGCTTCGAGAAGACTCCCAAGAGGTCGCCCCCGAGTACCCCAAGAGGCCCTCCCGCACCCCACAACAAGGCCCTCGAGGCTCCAGAGGGTCGCACGAAGCCGCCAGGAGCTTAGAGAAAGACTTCCAAGAGGTCGCCCCCGAGGACCCCAAGCAACGCAACGTCCGACCGAGCAGTTCTGGGAGCGGCCCGCCCCACAAATGAGGCGGACTTACGACAGGACTACTGCACATGCAAAGCAACACACACCTCTCCGCAAGCCCCGCCGCAACAAAAGCAGAGGAAGAGGGGACAGACCAGCAAGAGCCACAAACAGGCAGCAAACATCACGACTGCAGGCGGCAAGCAGCACCTACGAAGCTGGAGGCTGCACACCTCCTCTTCCGTGGGTCGTCGGGAATGGCGCAAACCTCTGGATAAAACTTCAATGCCGATACAAGTTTCTGTCCGTGAGCCCCGCAGCGAGGACGGGGTGAGTCTCGCCATCGCTCGGACGTCCATTCCCTGTGTTTTGTTCGGTTTCGTGCGTGTTTTTTCCGCCAAGTGATCAAGGATGCTCCTCGATGGTCCTCGCCGAAGGAAGAATGCACACGTCCGAGCGATGCCAAGGTCGGGAATGGCGCAAGCCTCTGGATAAAACTTCACTGCCGATGCAAGTTTTTCTATCCGCGAGCCCCGCAGCGCGGACGGGGGGAGCAGGCGCACGAGGCACGAAGCCTTTGACATGAGACCAAAGCGGGCACACATCTGCATATGAAGGGACCCAGGGCCACGCACACAAACCAATATGCAGAAATCCTGTGATTCTCCATATTTTGTTTGCGTATGTTCCGGATGTTCGTCTTCCCCCCGACTGCCCACGTTTTCCCACATTTCCATGGGGCTCCCCTCCTGAATCATGCTATCAAGTTTACCGCCCCCACGAAACGACGTTGTGCAAAGACTGGTCCCAGCGGTTCGAATACGCACCGCGTGCTCCGATCATGCTAGCTGAACTCCCCGCATCAGATAGTCATCGGGTCGCGTGCGCGGGGGAGACCAAAAGCCATGACCAGGAGGACAAGGGCACCAATGAGCAAAATGGAGAAGACATGGGGAGACAGAGGAACAGGATGAAAGGCGGGATCCTCAATGGAACTAATCGACATCAGCGTTATGGAAGGATGGTAATATCATCGGGATGATGAACAGTGTCATGAGGTAAGACAATGGAGTGAAGTAGGAACAGAAGGACCAGTCCCAAGCTTCTCCCTGGACGGCAAGACATGATACTATAGGGAGGCGTTGCGCGGTCTCACTGGAGAAGGAAGCGTGTTACTGTCGGGACTCAAACAATGGACGAACATGGGACGACTGAGGCGACCTCTCCTCTCGGAAGGGGGGAATGTTTGGCCCTGGTGGGCCGCATGGAGTGGGAACGGCCAAAGCTATGAGACATAACAAAATATCCCAATGGTAAGCCAAATCTCACGCGGCCTACTTGGAGGGGAATACGGTACAATTGCGACTCGTGGACTGGAAGGGCATTGGGCCTACGCCCATGCGCCCTGCTGAATCCGCACCCCTTTCAAAGGTCAATCGCTACTCAGAACGTGCACGCGTGCTGGAGCGGTAATGAAGGCATACACGCCATCATCTGTGGCGCCTCATCCCCGTGGCCCGAGCATCCCAAACTCAAGTGCAGGAGGTGGATGGGGAGGGGAAGAGGGGAGAATAAGGACTAGCATGTGACATACGGCCTTATCTTTTTGGTCACGTGCCGCCAACCAGGGGCCGATGCCACCGCAAAGATAGCGGCTGGATCTACCAACACCTTACCATTGCCTAGCGGACCGAGCACTTGTCTGGACGTGCACCTCGGCAAGCGAGAGGAATATCTCAGATAACTGTGACTTCCACTTAGAGACGACGCGTCACACCTTGTCCGCGGCCAAAGTCGTACGCCACATTTCCCGGGTGTGCTGTTCCGTATCATACCCCGTTGCGCAATGCATGGTGCAACGGTTGTCCCAAACAACGAAATCCCCAACCTCCCATTGCCATGTCACCGTGAAGCGGTCGGCTGTGACAGAGGGCAACAACTTTCGCCACTCCTCAACACTCGCGTCCTCCAAAACATCGACTTCGTACTGGTCCAACTGTTTGGCAGACAAGTGTGTACCTTTCGGCAGCACCGCGCACGTACTCGAATTCATGCCATACAACGCCAGACGGCCCGTCTGCGGGTGCTGAAGCACCATGGGTACCCTGTTGGGAGGATTGGCCGCGCGCTGCTCTGGAGAGAGCACTGGATATTCAGGTGAGTATCGATTCACCTTGGCGTCATGATGTGCTTGCGAACATACGCATTCCAGACCTAGAAGCCGTTCCTGCATTGCTGCGTCGAGAGAATCATATGCCTCTCGCATATCCGCAAAGCATGTGGCACCGCCCTCTGGAGGGGCTTGCCTGCAGAACAAAGTGGAACCGATCGGTGGGTGTTTCCGGTACGTGGAATCCGTATGCCACACTGGCAACCTCTCTGCGTATTGATATTGCGGTGATCCGCTTGCCGGCAGTGGCGGAGTGAGTGCTAACATAGCATTCAAATTTCCATTGCAGTCCTTGGTGTTCCCTATCCGCATGACGCTGGAAACTTCATCGACTTTGTACTTGCGCTTGTTGACGTCGAGCTCTGGCTCCACATCTCCAAATATTGCACTCACCTCTGCAAACTGCTTCGGGGTCATGTCAGTGAGCCCTCGCATGACAAGCAAGCCTCCGTACCCACGCCAGGCCTGCAACAACCTGCCCGCGAGAGGCCCTCCACTCAGAAGCTGTCAGAGGAACTGAAAAAACAATAATGTTAAGTCGGGCCTGTCCCCCTACAGGGGGATTCTCGACGAAAAAAATAAAAAAGGAACAAACATATTCCAAAATGGTCGACAAATGCAAAAAAAAAGTCCCCTGACTATGTTTTGATTATTCTTGAAGGACAGGCCCGACTTGACAATAATGAACACAAACCTTCAGGGGTCCGCTTGGAGCTCTTGGATCGGCGCTGGGCGCCCCTGCCTGGCCTGCGGAGCGCGCCAGGGGCGGCGCCGGAGGCGCCGCCGGGGGGGCCCAACGCGTGTCCAGTGCATCTGCGCGGAGCTCCGACGATCCACACTCATGCTGCTTTTCCTTCCTCGAGCTGTGCGGCACTCACCCGCACATCGACCAGAGCACCAAACTCACCTCGGGGATGGACAGACCCCCCTTTCGTAAAACGTGGTTCAGTGGAAACGACCTGAGGCCCAGACCTGGCGGGCGCAAGCCTGGAAAACAACGGCCGCGGCGCCCTCTCGAGAACCGAAAACGGACACTTCACTAATCGACGTGTCACTGCTGGGGGCTCTGTCCACCCCCGATCACCCTTCAGAGGGCGAATAGGGAGCGGAGCGTCGCTTGGGACGCACGACGCGGCTCCCCGCAGCGCGGCTCCGCCGGCGTCGGCGCCGCCGTGCGGGGAGCGGGAGCGGCTGCGGTCCAAGGCCCGCGAGGCTACAGCAGCGGCCATCTCGCGCCGATCGGGCCTCGAGAACGTGCCACTTCAGAGTTCCGTGGGCAAAATTGGGTCGAGTCGAAATAGCTCCGGAGACAACGAGCCAGAGCGCGGCATTCCGTGGGTATGAAGCCGATCAAGCTCGGTCTCTGAGGGGGGTTGGCGACCCAAAGGGCCCAACACGGCTCGAGAGCCCAGAGCAAACAAACCGCGACCCGAGGGGGCACCCTGGGGCCTCGGATGGGGAACGGCCTGGGGGGGGATAGAGATCCGACTGACTCTACTTTGACATGGAGCCTTTCCTGAGGATAAAAAACCTTCTGGCACTTCAAAGGAGCTCGCTGGGCTACCCACAGGGGCATTCCAAGAGGAACATAAGAGGGAGACACCCCCAAGCGGCCCCAAGCTAATTAGCCCCGAGGTGACTTAAGTGGCCAAAGATGATCGAAGGCAGCCCCCAAGAGGCCCAATTCCTTTAACATCCAGATTCAGCACATACACTTCCATGAATCCCCCAGATGCTGCCCCTGCCCAGAATGTGCGATGTGCCCCACGAGTTCACACAAGTAGACGCGTCGTTCTGCGTGCACTCCTGCGACCCTTCTTTGCCTCACCGTTTCGCCCATGGCGCTCCCCAACCTGATCACACGCCTGCCACGATACGGCATGGGCTGGCGGAACGTGCGAAGGGACTGGATCCGGCGGGCCACCTGGGGGCCCTGGTCGTGCTGCAACCTCGGAGGTCGGATGACGAGACGGAGGGTGCCGGAGGAGCGCGGGGCAGGGCTGGGCCTAACCACGGTTTTCCGTCTCGTTTTCGTTCTGTTCTTCGTGCTGCTCCACCTCCCTGCCGAAACGACAACCAGCAGACGGCCGAAGTCCAGCAAAACAGCGCTTGGGCCCCGCCCTGGAGAGCGAGATGGCGTGCGGAAGAGGCGTGCCCTGCGAGCGGCCTCGCGCGCAGCTCCGCAAGGCAGCCGCACCTGGACTCCTCCGCCTCCTCTGGACACGCAAGAAGAAAAAGGGAGCCGTGCGCTCCCAGCGCTAGGCCCACGCGCGGGACAGCTTCTGGGGGCATAGATAGGAAAAGAATAATAATAATAAGAAGAAATGAGCAGAATCATAATAATAATAATGATAAGAAACATAAAAATAAGACGAAGAAGAAGAATACGAAAAATAATCCACCGGTTACCTTGTGGGGCCACCAGGCTGCAGAACGAAGGTTTGCAGTTCCCTGCGCCAGTTCGTTTTTCCAGCTTCCACTGGTACAGTTCTGCTTCTTGCTGCTCACTGTTCCTTGTTGATGGACCGCGCGAGGGGGGGGGGGAGCCGAGAAGGAACCTAGCTACCACGACCGAATCGGGTGCTCTGAATTCCTGGGGGGGGGCGTGGGACACGTAAGAATACCTGAAATTCGCGCCCGCGAGGACATAAACCCTCGTACATGACACCATAGTCGCGTCCCCGAGGCCATAGACCCTCGTGAATTACGCAATACTCGCGTCCCCGAAACCATAAATCTTTTGCAAAATACGCCGTGTTCGTGTCCCGCCATAAACCGTCGTAAATTACGCAATACGTGCGTCCCCGAGGCCACACACGCTCGTAAATCACGCGATATTCGCGTCCCCGAAACCAGAACCCCTCGTAAGTTACTCAATGCTCGCGTCTCCGAACCATAAACAATAATTAGCCAATAGTCGCGTGTCCGAAGCCATTCACCTTCGTACATTCAACAATATTCGCGTCGCCGAAACCACAAACCTGCGTAGAGTACGCTATAGCATCGAGCCGCAAGCCATGAACCCTCGTACATTACGCGCTATTCGCGTATCCGAAGCACTGGGCCCCCCTCCCTGGCGCGCGGAGCGCGCCAGGGGCGGCGCTGGAGGCGCCACCGGGGGGAACAACCCAGCGCAGGTCCAAGACATCCGTGCGGAACGCCCAAACAAAAAATAACACAACTCATGTTTTTGTTTACTTTCATTTGTTAAGGCAAGAAACAACCAGACTATATACACGAGGGAGATGCACCCTGAGGGCTGCGCAAACCCCGCTTCGGCGCACCCTATCACGCAGTGCCTGAGAGCCCCCAGGCCTCCAGAGGCACGTAAAACCATGAATGATTCACAAACCGCTTCTCCCAGGAGTCTCAATTCTGCGCACCCCTCACGCACTTCGTGCATCATGAGAGATCGGCTGGCCCCAAAGATTGCTTCTTGAGGCATCAAAATGGCACAGCCCTCGCGCATTTCGTGCCCCAAGGACCTCCAAGGGCGATCCGCTGGCCCTCAAGACGGCTAAAGCGAGCCTCACTTCGGAACACTCCTCACGCACTTCGTGTCTCCTGGACTTCCATGAACCCTCAGCTGATCCCGAGGACCGTTAAAGGGGGGCTTCGATTAGGCATACCCATCACGCGCTTCGTGGTTCATGGACCTCCGAAGGCCATCTGCTGGCACTCTGCTGGCTCCGAAGACCACCTGTCCCCCCACGGGGCGCTAAGATGCCCCGAGTGGTACCGACCCTGGTCGAAGCCGTGCCCCGAACACCCACTGATTGCAACATCTGCGCGCGCGTTTCCCTCTGGGGGCCCGCCGCTTCGCCGGCTCTGCGCGCTCAATTCGGCGGGCCCCCCGCGGGCCCGTCGCCCTGTTAGGCTTTGAAGATAGGTCACGAATGGAAGGACAATGAAGGAGAGGGTAAAGCATGCGCACAAGGCATGCTTAGAGGCGCTTCCCAACATAATCACATGCCGACGGTGAAACAGCGTGCGCGTATAGGATAACGACCAACGAGTCGAACCTACACCGTCTCCTGTTCCAGGGTGCCGCGCGGAGAGCAGCGCGGTGCCCGCGCCGCCGCTTGAGCCGATGCGTTACTGGCCCCAGCCACCGCCTCGGCCCTGGCCACGGCTCCGGCCCGGGCCCCGGGCCCCGGGCCGTGGCCTCGGCTGGCCGCGGCCCCGGCCCCGGCCCCGGCCCTGGCCCCGGCCCTAGCCCTGGCCCCCGATTTTCCCCCCCGCGGCTTTCGCCTCCCAGACGCCCGCCCCCGAGGAGACAGACGGCTCTCCTCCTCCTCCTTTTCCTCTTTCTCCTCCTCCCTCTTTTTTTTCTTCTGATTATTCTTCTTAGTCTAATGTTTCTTCGCTTCGTCTTCGTCTTCGTCTTCGTCTTCGTCTTGCTCCTCCTCCTCCTCCTCCTCCTCCTCCGCCTCCGCCTCCGCCTCCTCCTCCGCCTCCGCCTCCGCCTCCACCTCCGCCTCGCCTCCGCCTCCGCCTCGCCTCCGCCTCAGCCTCCGCCTCCTCCTCCGCCTCCTCCTCCTCCTCCTCCTCCTCCTCCTCCTCCTCTATTCCTTCTCCTTAAAGATTAACCCTTCCCTGTCGCGCCCAGAGGCAGGTCGAACGGGTGTGTCGGGCGTTTCGCGAGAGACTTCCTCACCAATGACGACTCTGAAGCTTTTTAGAAAAATACGCAGTTTCACGAATGCATGGCGGGTGGTTTCCAATGTGACTCTCGCCTGAGGGCCGCGTAGATTAGTTCTGCAAATTGCAAGAGCTTCGCGGCTTGAGGGCTGGGGTTTTCGAAACGTGGCCCCCGCCTGAGCGCCGCGTGCATTCGATGTTTTTTGTTTTTTGTTATATAAGCTTCGCGGATGGAGGGCTGGTCATTTTCAGAAAGTGGCTCTCAATGTGGCTCTCGTCTTCGCGCCGCGCGCAATCGTCGTGAACAAGCTGCAAGAGTTTCACGGATGGAGGACGGGTCGTTTTCAACGTGGCTCTCTCTTTAGCGCCGCGCGCATTCGTTTAAACAAACTGCTAGAACTTAGCGGATGGAGGGCAACTCGTTTTCGAAATGTGACTCTCCGTTTAGCACCGCGCATACTTGTCGCAAAACATTGCAAGAGTTTCACGGGTTGAAGGCGGTTCGTTCTCAAAATGGTCAACGTACCAGGCATGGCGTTTGGGAACGATTCGAGATTGTCAGGGCGCAGCGGTCAATTTCAAGTTCCAGGAATGGTACAATCTGCCACGATTCAAAATCGTCAATACGCACAATCATGTTGATTCGTGGCGTTGGCGTCCCGATAATGGTGTTTTGGCACGTTTCAGGGTTTTCAAACGGCTGTTTCCCAACGGGGCGCTTCCTTCAGTGGAAATCAACCGCCCCTTTCCACCTCCCCATCCCTCTCCTCCCCCTCCTTCTCCTTCTTCTCCTC